GCCGGCTGCGGCGAGAGTGGACCCTCCCGGGCCGCGCCGGAAGGGCCGGGAGCCGCTCACCTCCAAGGCGGCCAGGCGGCGCTCCAGGTACTCCACCAGGTGGGGCTGCTGCCCCGGGACGCGGCCCCAGCACGACAGCAGCCACAGGCCCAGGAGAGCGGCGCGGGCTGCCATGGCGGCCCGGAGCGCGGGCTGAGCAGGACGAGCGCGACGGCCTGGCGCGCGCCGGCGGGCGCTGGGGGCGGCGCCTTCTCGCGTCGGGCGGCTCGCGCCCCTGGAAGGCCTCCCCGCCCGGGGCTGATCAAACCCAGATGGCCCGCGGCACCGCGGCCAGGCCCTTCCCGCCCCGCCGGGCCGAGACACGAGGCCGAGGCCGAGGCCCGGGGACACTCGGCAGACGCCGGGCCGGTTCCGGGAAGGGTTTCCAGCGCCGGCCGCAGAATCGGGCAGCCCCCACGCGCCTTCCCTTTCCCTGCAGTAACGGAACGGGCGTCGCCGGCCCCGTTCGGTGGAGCTGGAAGGAGGCCGACCAGGTCTGCGAACGAGAGGCCGGGGGGGAGAGCCCCAGTGGGCAAGTCTGACTCCTACGGCTCGCGGGCGCCACCTTGTGCTCACGCCTGGCATCATCTCTTGTGACGAACAGAAAACGGCGGCGCAGAATTCACCCCATGCGGGAAACTTTCCCCAGGGCAAGACGAGTAGCTTGAATTTACACGGGTTCTCATCACTAAAATGCAGATCTCCCCACAGTCTACGCAATGACTACTTTGGGGGTATGCAAATCTGACTTAGCTCAAGGAAGAAAATATAACTGAGATAGAAAGCGCAAAACGGGTCACTGAGGAGTTAGTCAAGTACCAGGAAGTGAGATAGTTGTAAGTGGCTTTCCTCTCTCTCTTACCAAAACTGAGGGATGTCTGGTGAGTTCATCCTCTCTCACTTATTTAGGGGAAAAGAAAATCGAAAAACACATACATGTTGCAGTCTAAATCAAAATAAATGTATTCGGATCTCCCTACGACAGGGAAAAAAACAGGCTGTTGGCTGGGCTTGGTGGCTCAGCCTGTAATCCCAGCACTTTGGGAGGCCGAGTCAAGTGGATTGTCTGAGCCCGCGGGTTCAAGAGCTGGGCAACTTGGCGAGGCCTCGTCTCTACAATAAATAAATAAAAACTAGCCGGGCGTGGTGGCACGTGCCAGTAGTTCTGGCTACTTGGAAGGCTGAGGCGGAAGGAGCGCCAGAGCCCAGCAGGTTGACACTGGGGTGGCCGTGAGTGTGCCACTGCACTCCAGCCTGGGTGACGAGAGTGAGACTCCAACCCAAAAACAACTCGAAAACAAAACAAAAAGACAAGCTATTAATCATTTTTCTTGGTTATGGTCCAAAAGGGTGTTTCTAAGTATTTCTCATGTCTATATACCAACTAAGATTGCAGGAGCCCAAAATGAAGTAACAGCCACTGTAAGGTAGACTTGGCCTGAAATACCCGTGTCAAAACAAGTCAAACAAATAGAGCATTTACTCAGAGACATGCTGTGGTTAGTCTAGACAAATCCCTATTTCTTTATCAGGAGAAACGTTATTCACTTTAGAATCAAGAGAAATCTAATCAGAGGTGCCCTTTCTCTCAGAATGGCCATACCCCTAACACTGCAGCTCCAAAAAGAGAAACGTTAGCACCTTCCTGTGGCAACTCTTATTTTCATTCTGCTACTGTGCATGTTTGGTGAAATATGCTAGGAAACAAAGTTTAATTAGCCTGTCTCAGAAGTTGTCTTACCTCTTCCGATGGGCGATGGGTTGGGCACAGATGATCTAAAGGCAGAGCCCTGTCCGCTGCCTTCCTGGGGAGTATTCGCCAAAACCCTGATCATTTCCATCACGGAGATGTACGGAGAATGAAAGTGCCTCCGGGACTCTATTGATGTTCACATGTTTAGCCATTGCAAAGGTGTCGTTTGTTGATCCCCTTTGCACCCCTTAATACACGTCAAACACAGCCACGTGAATCAGAAAATTTACCCATTTTATTGATGCATTGCAATTGCTCTACATTTTACCATATTATGTAGAAAATACTGAAAATACAAGCTACTTTGTAAAACCAAAGACAAACATTGAATCCAAAGATAAACTATGCTTTACACAATGGACCCTTTTCCCATAGTTAGTATTAAATTTTAAATATCTATTTCTTCTGTTAAAATGATTATTTTACATACTCCCTAAGTACATCTGCATTACAAACATAGCTCAGTAATTCTCAGAAACTGTTTCTAGAGGCTTGTTGCAAAAGAAAGCGCACAACCAGAAAAGGGAGAAAGCAAAAAAAGCTTAAATCGCACACAATAACTAGCATATCAAATACATTTAATAAAGTAGGAATTCCATTGCAATATCAAGGATTCAAAGCAGAAATACTAACATTACACATAATGTACATATAATGTACTGCTACATGTAGTGAGATTATTTTTCAAGCTGAATCGAAACCACACATTATATAAAGTTTAGCAACAAACGACCATGTAGACATGCTGCACCATCCATCAGTTAAAAAAAATCAAAATAGGAAGCAGGCTCGGGCCATTCCTGTCATTGAGAGGCAGTTCCATTTCCTATCCTAAAACAAACCATCTCAACTAGTGGATTTTCGCATAATAATGCTGAATAAAGTACACATCACTGTGCCTGCCAGGATAAGGGCGGTCAAGCTCAGCTGCTGTAGGGGAGGACGATGGGTGAGCAACCACAAAAGCAGGCTCAGAATGGCCAGAACTGCTTGAAATGGAGTTCTCATTCCTGGGGCTGGCATTTCAGCTGAGCACTGAGAGCGGCACCACCTCCCGGGAGCTGCTAGCCACGCTGGAGTGATCAAGTGTCCTTATGTGCCTGAAGCGGCGATTCTTAACCCTTCCCCACTTCCTCTCTCTCCCGGAAGGGAAGAAGCTGGAAATGCAAGTTCTGAGAGAGGACTTAAAGTCCTACGCCACCGAGACCCAGGCCAGCTGCTCACGAAATTCACAGGGCTCCCCCATGCTGCCAGGGCCAGCCATGTGAAGCCCCAGGGACAGAATCTGAAGCCACATCAAGCACATACACATTCAGCAGACAAAGGTGGATTTTTGTCTTGGTAAACCTGAAATGCCAGTTTGCAGACTAAGATGGAAAATCACTAAAGTTTTTAAAGCCACACACTGCTAGTCAGGTGATTAAGGTAACGATTCAGGCTCCTGGTACGATCTTTTTCCAAGGAGTTAAGACTCCTATCTTAAATGGGATCTACTTACTGGAAGGGGGCCAGGAGGGGGGCTTTGTCTTGTTTGTCCTGCATCTCATTTCTTACAAAAACAACAAATCTTGTCCCTTATAGAGGAAAGATAGGGAACAAAAAATGTTTCCATTGGAAACTAGACCTGTGTTTGAACAAGAAAATTAGAATGTGCTTGACAAAAAGGAGACACAAAGATCACACACGTTGACCAGAAAACTGTGTAGCACTAGTGACAGAAACTTGACAAAACGCTTGGCTGTTTTGACCATTATCGTGCTGAAAACACAATGCAACATAACGATGTAAAAAAAATACACAACATGTTCCTGGTAGGCTGTACTGACCACGTGCCCCATCTTGGAAGCCCTTACTCCTTACAATGAAGAAACTCCAGACACTTTGACAGCTTCTTGGTGTTCAACCCGGTACAGAGCTTGCTGACCAGGCTCCATGAAATCTCCCATCTCCATCTGGCACCTCCTTGACACCATCTCGACACAGAACCAGTCCTAAAATTCTCTCTCCAACATGAGATTTCCAGTTCAGATGGAACATAACTGTATCTCAGGGTTAACCTTCTTTCCCAAATTCTTTTGGACAGGAATGTCCCTATCCCCAGTGCCTTCTTCGGCTTGACCCAGATCCGTGTAGGAGCTGAGAGTCCGACAGTTTCACAGTTTGAAGGGCCCCAAGAATACACAAGTTGTTAAAAAAAGAAACCTCAAAAGCCTCAGTGACTCAACGGGCTTTGGTTCCTTCCTGATCTCCTTCACCAGCTAAGAAACCTTTCTGTGAGTTCCTTGTCACCAGCGGCACCACAAACTCCTCCTCATAGTATGGGGACATGGTGAGCAATACAACAGGCTCTTTGGTATCAACACATCTGTTACACGGTTTTTCAACAAGCAAATATTTCACTAGGAATGTCAACTATTCGCAGGAAGGACTGCCACATGGGAAAAGAAAAACAAAACTCATTCTAAAAGTGATTGCACATACTTGTTTAGAAAAGAATGCATATTTAATATCGGCTTGACTCCTCACCTGCTTCCTGAATCCGCACAGAAGCAAGGCAGCGACGCACAGTGCGGGAGGGAGCCCCACGGGAGAATGCTTCTGGGAGAACTCCGCGAGGCCAGAACAGAAAGGGGCAGGGGTGGCGGGAAAGGAGGAAAGCTGCTGTTTTTATGCTTCAGTGTCGGCAGGGAAACGAGAACAATGCGCTTACACAACACAGCTGCTAATCCTGTTCTGATAAATCCCGGCGGCCCACTGGGGACCCACGGGGGCTTGCTGGTCCATCCGAAGGCAAGCTCACTGTAAACTCTATTAAACCACTACATCATCATATAAGGCACTACAAGAAGGGAAAGGGAAGGCGGGAGGGGAGAGACGCACACTGAACGACTCCTCACCAGACACGCCTGTGCAAAACCACTCAAGGGCCTCCTCTCCTTGCCGGCAACGCCCCTGCTCATCCAGCACCACAGTGAGATGCTCTACTAGAACGGCCATTAGTTCACATACATTCCAACGAGTATCAGTTCATTTTGGTTTAAACACAATGGAGACATCAATTCCATCTCCGGGGTAACACTGGAGGACCGGATACACACTAAATACACAATTCAAGTGTAATCACTACACATTTGATTACAAATAACATTTTGGGTTAGCAGGAAAAGTTGCTTGTTATATTTTTCTAATCAATATGTACATATTTAATTATGCAAAATATTAAAACACCACCATTACAAAACTTCTAAAATATTTTTAAATTCAGTAATAAATTTTTAAAATATTTTTTGCAATTCCTACATGCACTTATTATATAAGTCTTAATAAGAGAGCATTCAATCTGCTGCTGGCATACAAAGGAAGCTACTCTAAAGTATAAAAGCTATAC